TGATAGAGTTCGTTTGAGAGATTATTTTGGAGACAATTCCAGTGAATGTTAGAAATCGCATCACTATTGAAAAAAAAAACCCAAAGAGTTGTAAAATTGAAGCTTGTTGAAAGGTCAAGGTTAGTTTGTAGCAACGTTAAGATCTTGTTCGGCAGAAGCTACATGTGGGAGTGGTTGAGAATTGAGACCACATTGGCAGAGTACTCAGCGATAGACCTAGCACCCCCTTCCCCCCACCACACCACACACCCTCATCCCTCTACCTCTGTGTGTACGTACTGTAGTCCGCAGCTACTCAGGGTCACTCCACACGCCCCCTGGAGAGGGTCTTGCCTTTCTTATAAGGAAACGCCCATCTTAGTCCACGCAGTGTAAATTGAATTAAGTACTACAACAGTGACTTAAAGCTGGTGTAGATCATCTTGTTACGTTCTATTTTTAGAAGTGCTGACGTCACCACTGACTGATCACTCGAAACCTACCTGTCAGGGGCAAGTAATTCAATTTGTGTTGACTCAAACCTGTTGGTCATGTGGAGAAAGTTGTACATCAATTAAGATTGACACAAAATCTTACTGGGGGTGGCTGATTCGTCGTTGCTTTATTAAGTGCATGGATTTTTGATCACGTGCATCTATCACGTCTCCAAAAAGTAACTGGCGTTTACATTCGTTGTGTTTGCCGTTAATGACAGTTTGAATCACTCATCTAACTATATCATAAGGTCTAGTTTAGTGAAGCACTCACGACATATTTTGCGCATGCGTAGTGTGTGTACCAAAAGAATGTGAACCATCGAAGGTAAACAGCGCTTGTTTATAAAACTGGAACGTATCTAAGAATAGATTGACCATGTTGACACCGCCCAATGGTACCGGGGCGTGTCAACAAGGATGATGCAAACAACCGATTGTTGTGCGCTGGATGCGGTCTGTTAAGATAATGTTTTATACTGCAGTAATATTCGAATCCAATTAATTTAAACGGCTGAATTTCGCTGATTTTTCTTCTTATATAAGTTAGTTAGACAACAATTCTTTAAAGTATGTTTGTTAAATATTTATTTAACTTTATTCTTACATTTGCCGTCACCTCCGACTAAGGCTGCCTTTATACCTTTGTATTTGAATGAAAACAAAAATAGAAAACTAGTCGCTAGCGAAGTAAAACTACTTGAAACTTGGAGGTAGAGCTATAGTCAAAGCGATGTCCTACTAGTGCATTCTTGGTCATCTGTGTTGGCTCAATGAATTATGTCCTCGAATGTAAAGAAATATTTTTTTTGGACCTAAGTATAACAAACAAAGCATCATCGACCTTGAGTGTTAGAATAGATGATGGTGCTCTAAACTAATGTATGTGTACTATCTGCAGCCTACATTATCTAGTTAGCGCATGACGTAATGAGAGGTGCTTAGAGTCGTGTCTTTTATAATCTTCAATGCTCAAATTGCATCATTCTCTTGGACGTGTTGATAGATGGTGTGAGTCGTATTTTTTACGATCTTGAATTTCCAAATTACATTATTCGTTTGGCTTTATTGTCTGGATTTTCCAACAAAAACATCAAGTTGTTAGCTTGAATTAGGCCTGTTCGTTGAACCAATATAACGAAAACATAAGGAAACAGAAGGATATCAAAGTTTGGAATTTAAAATTGGAAAAGTATACATTTGCCATTGTGATGTTATTTACAAAGGTAACATTATACACAACGTGACCAGAAATGTTTGGTGTCGTCTGATGAGAGGCACGTGATTACGTCCCCTTGGGCTCGCTGTAATTTATAGTTTCCTGTGTACATGTTGCTAATCTATGGCTTAAGTCTTAGTGGCCGTAAGTAAAGTATTTTTATACTGCTTAAAGGATAGTCAGGTAAAATCTATCGGCTGTTTCTTTATCTGCTTAATTTTAAAAAAAAAGTAAAACTTTAATTGTGTGAGAAAAGTAAACATTTTTTTATAACGTGGGGTGTGATTAGGTAGTGTTAAGTGTCTAACAATGATCAAGGAATGTGAGCAATGAATCCCACCAGTCTAGTGACTCGCGTGATGTTGACATATGGGACGCGTGTTAGAATGTGCATAGTGTGGTCAAGACTACCTTTTGGCTTAAATTTTTTTTTTAACCTTCCTAGGTCAACACAACCTTACTTATCCTTAAGCTAAATATAACACACGACTTGTTTCCTACTCTACCTGTTGGGGAAAAAATAAACTTTTCCATTAAAAAATCATTAGTGAGGGACAGTTTACCTGTCGCATAGCACGGTACAACTGGTCACATTATACAGGTAGTTTATTTTTTTTTTAGTTAGGTTACTTTGACATTGTGTGGACTGCTTTAAAATAATCTCACTCCACTCTATTTTATACATACTTTTATTATTATTTTTTTTACACATTGTTTGTTCTTCGTACGTGTATAATGTATTAATATTTTAAAATGTTAGACTAGTTAAAATGCTCGATAGTTGTAAGCAACGTTCCCTCTAAGGGGAAAAATTTAGTGTGCAACTTGTATTTTCTGTGCTCGGTGTTCTAAAAGTCTTACACAAAGATACACGTATTTTACAAAATGACTGCGCTGCAGGTTCAAAACTACTGTGCGGCCGCGCAGCTTAGATGGAACACTGGTTGTAAGCAATATAAGTCTGTTACATTTACTAAGCTAGTGCTACCTTTTTAAAATAAACCCCATTAAATTAATACGTAGCAGTCTGTAAAATAAAACTAAAGAATACAATATGATGTTAAAATGATCCAGTATTTGGGCTCGAAGCCTCGCTTTGTGTCACCTGTATTTTTCAACTGTTATCGCTTTGCTTTATCAGTGTCAGCGAGTGCAAGTTACATACACATTATGATTCTCTCCCTTTTTAACACATCAGCCAGCTCTGTTACTTCCGTGCTTTATCTGACCTGCTGTCTGGACAGTGGACTGGGTTAAGTAGGTCAAAGCTGACCGAGAACCAGTGGACCCTGTTGTAACGCATGTCAGAAAACGTATCAGACGACATGACGCATGCTGTATTGTTTTCAATTAGGCCGTTATTCTTCAAGGGGAAAATCCATTAAATCTGATGTGCTTGCATGTGTGAATCAAACATTAGGGAAAAGTGTTTTTTTTTTTCTTTTAAAGGGGTCTAAAGAAAACTGAAATAGTCCCATAGTGGGAACGATGATAATGGCATCGTCACCTTCCATACCGTAAATGGCGATGGATAGTGGCACATGCTTAGGAAGGACGAATGTAATAGAGCCTGGCAGGCCCTAGAGTTGACCCCCCCCCCAGGGCAAGCGACGCAGGGGTCGACCCAGGAAGACATGCGATGTAGCGTGCTGAAGTAGACCGAAACGATAGGAAGGAACTGGGAAAAGCTGAAAAAAAAGTGGTAGAGAGACCGCGGGGGAGCGGAAAACTTTGACAGAGGCCCTATGTTCCACTAGGAACGAAAAGAAAAAAAAAATGTCTGGCTGTAGTTCCAGAAGGCATCTGGTCTAAAAGAGTGAATAGCTCGGCCGGAAGTAGTGCTTAGTGCATGATATCTGGGATGGAAGTGGGGGGGGGGGGGGTATGAAATGTTTCAATGTAAACTGTATAGGGGTGTTAAGCATCTGTTTATTTGTGTGGTGGTCATCAGGGTCTCACACAGAACAAACCAGGCGTCTAGAAAAATAAGTCCCCCAGTAGCTTACATAAGCGAATCTGACCACTACTGTATTCCATCTTGTTGACCCATACCCTGTTAGGTTGGAAATGGCCCGTCGTGATTGTGGCATGGGTACATAATGTCTTGCCATAATCCACCAGGGAAATAGCTATGTAGTCATACGTATGACAACGCTAGCTCCCAACTCTTATGTTTAATTAACAGATAGGTTTCCTTGTTCGGTGTTGCTTCAACTAAAATGCCATTTCTGAATCATTTTACTTTCACTTTGCCTAAAGCGTGTGCTTCATAGAATGATGCGATTGTGTGGGATATGCTAGCTCTGTCAAATTTTTGACGAGGCTATAGCCTAGATTAATTCGACCCCCGACCCCCCCCCCCCCCCTTGATACTGCGGGGGGGGGGGGGGTCTGTGTGAGCAACGATGGACCGGGTGATCATCCAATCTATTTATTGGAATGGTCTTGTTGACAGCTTTATGACACGGGGCGATGGCGCAACTTATGGGGCGCACTGCATCAACGCCCGGGGATGCGCGTTTGCTTACCATGTAAACACATCTGTATTGGTCATTAATTTTAGTTGCCTGTCATTCCTGCCAGTTTTTTTAGGGTCCCACTAAAAATAATTATAAACCACGATAAAAATAGCATTCACACCAATATTTTTTGTTGATATAAAAATAATATACACAGATAAAAATAGTGTCCGTGGTAAATGTAAACTTAGATAAAAACAAATAGGCTACCACTGCTCGTGGATTGCATCGGCTTAATTAGTCATTGCGTGAATTTTATCTAGTTATTATTTTAGCCCCCTTATATCATTATTTTCGTCATCCTATATTGTTAGATATTCCTGCTTAGTTTATTATGCCCTGTGATGAATTCCCATTTATTATCTATTTTAGCTCCGTTATATCAGTATTTTCGTCATCCTATATTGTTAGATATTCCTGCTTAGTTTATTATGCCCTGTGATTAATTCCCATTTATTATCTATTTTAGCCCTCTTAAATCATTATTTTCGTCATCCTATATTGTTAGACATTCCTGCTTAGTTTATTATGCCCTATGATAAATTCCCATTTATTTTCTATTTAAAAAACTAAGTTTTGTTATAGTCTAATATTAACATATAGAGCTATACTAGGTTAGTTCTATGCCTGACCCCTATTTGGTAAAAACGAAGAGTTGAGGGCCTTTGTCGATCAGGGGAGTGAACCGCTTTCAATCGGGTCTCCGTGCTGGATTAGGCTAACGTGCAAGGGGGCATCAATCCGGCTGACGGTGTCGAGTTTATAACGCAAGCACCACCAGCGCTTTCGTCAGTTTCCGTTCTTTCAGTGTTGTGCTAGTGACTTTGTATAGTGCTGTATAGCGTGTGAGGCTTGGAACTTTACCGTGGAATACATTTGTTTTTAAACTGTTATTAATAAGTGGTGAAATAATTTGGAGTGATACACTTTTTTTGGTTGCAGGAATATCTAAAAAAAATCTACTTGTTTAAATTTCTTCTGGATTTCGGTTTTTTAATACTTCGATCATTAATTTTCATAACAAACGAATGCATTATCTTTAAAATGGTAAGTTAAATAAAATTAATCTTACAACAAAGTGTAGTTAATTTTATAATACGTTTCTTTCCTGTTTCTCACTTCTACTTTTAATATTATTGGTAATTTTTTTTTTTTACTCTTAAGAGCTGATTTAAAAAAAAAAAAAGTTAAATTTTTGTACTATCATTCCAAGCCCTTAAGATTTGATATATCAGGGTATTTGTTGTTGATTCATGTATTATGATTGATAAAGCTTATCTCCGCCTTTCATCTGTATAGCCAACAGCCCACTAACATATTTCTTCACGATTTTCTTCACTATTCAAATATTTACAAGTGTTGGTAATATGTCAGTCCGCTACTTCAGACTTCGGTATCTGTTGAATAGATTAGCAAGGGAGAATGGGTGTAGTGCATATTGAATCGAATAGTTCAGTAGCGTTTACTGACTTTTCATTGTAGCGATTGATCGTGTGTGCTGCATTAGGGTAAATTCTTATCAATCTCGACACTCACAACATTTTTTAAAACCCCTTTTCACTACCACACGTTTTATGTACATAGATCTACATTCTTTGGTCAGAAGGTTTTTATGACATGGTGTATTACTGCAATAGAAATTTCAGTATTTGTATAGTATACGATGGGTATCTAGGCCTAGGTCTACATATTTAGAACGTCTAGAGATCTAGTAGTAAGCCTAGGAATATCAACGTCTTGATCTAGTATTTCTTCATTCACAAACGTAGCCTTAGTTAAATCTAAACACAACTTTACATTAAAAATATTGTCACTAGTAGTGTCGACTTAACGAATGTTATGGGTCCGGTTAATCGATAAAGAATCAAATTAGCGAAAGAAAGGTCATATATATGCTGTTTTAAAATCCACTATGTAGACTAGGTGTGGAACATCTAGATCTAGATTATAACTGAATATAAATGAAGCGATCTCGTCTTGATATAATCCAGGTTGTCTTTAAAAAGAGTTTGATCTGTTTGGTAGATTAGACCACTTTTTTTTGTGTGTTGACATGTGACCTTTCTCCCATCAAAAACATCCAGTTGTACTAGACCATGCGGTATGGAGACCTCGATGCATTCCTTAGCGAGCTTTTCAAAACTTGGGGGTCGGGTTTCTAAAAATAGCCCCCAGCGTTTAGCTCGGATTGTTTTGTCCAGAGAACACAATGACCACGTGTAGGCCAGCTTGGCCATCTCCCGGTCACATGACATTTGTATGGACATTCTCTGTTTGCTGGGAGTAAGTTCAAGGGCTTTTGGAGTGGTGACCAGGGATTATGGTTGGGTGAAGTCAGCGTTGCGCAATGTTTTAGTAGGATGATGTTAAGGTTTAGGTTCATAGAGCGATGACATTCACTGGGTAACGTTAACTTAGGTTAGGGTGATGGCATTAACTAGGGTAACTTTTAGACCAGAGCGGTGACGTTAACTTAGGCTAGAGAGTAGAGAGGCGACGTTAACTTAGGCTAGAGTGGTGACGCTAACTTAGGCTAGAGTGGTGACGTTAACTTAGGCTAGAGTGGTGACGTTAACTTAGGCTAGAGAGGCGACGTTAACTTATGCTATAGACGTGACGTTAATTTAGGCGAGAGTGGTGACGTTAATTTAGGCTAGAGTGGTGACGTTAATTTAGGCTAGAGTGGTGACGTTAACTTAGGCTAGAGTGGTGACGTTAACTTACGCTAGAGTGGTGACGTTAACTTATGCTATAGACGTGACGTTAATTTAGGCGAGAGTGGTGACGTTAACTTAGGCTAGAGTGGTGACGTTAACTTAGGCTAGAGTGGTGACGTTAACTTACGCTAGAGTGGTGACGTTAACTTATGCTAGACTGGTGACTTTAACTTAGGCTATAGTAGTGACGTTAACTGTGTAACGTTCGTGCTTACCTCGCTAACTTTCTACTCCTATAGAATTGCCCAACTATTTCATAACCTGTTCATGTATGTAGTCGGAATGTGGGAGGTGGTGTTGGTAATAAAAACACGTATTGTTTTTTAATCTCATCTTGATCTCTACATTTGGTTTGGCAACCATTGTCAATTTACCCAGGCGGTAATGCGTATGAGGTGTCTATGTGACTGGATTACGTTTAAAAAGTTTACATACACGGTTTTTACGGTGGCTTTATGTGAATTGTGTGTGAACCGTGATATGCCATACAGACTCTGCATCACGGCGCGAAAGGGGCTGTGTTTATCACGGTCACTCCAGGGTTACCGGCCTTGGCCAGTCAAACAATGCCCGGGTTTGACACGGGCTATTCAATCGTAAATCAGCTTGTCTAGACGGAAATAAACCGGCGTCTCGCATTTTTGTTAAACTGGGGGATGGGCCGGTGTTGACGTTTGGGGTGTCTGCCCGTTTGTATAGTGGCGGTGTTGGGTGGTGTGATGGAAAACATGTGTCAATGTTTTGGTGCTGTTGTCTGACGGCTAATGTTTAAATTGCCTCAATAAACAGTTTATATAAGCCCGGTTATGTTTAGCTCTATTGTAAATCGTGTCTTGAGTCGTAAACTATTTTAACGTTTTATTAGGTCCTACTTTTAAAAATGTTTTGTTACTTTCAAATTTTTGTGTAAATGTTTTATTAAAGCGATATAGTATCTTGTCCAGATAAGCACCGCCACGAATGCAAAAAAAAAAAAAAATGCATTGGTGAAAAGATAAGCCCGCCACTTGTGATCTATTTCGGATGTCTGAGATTTGAATATTTAAACGCTCGTCATAAAAACGTCTTAACCGCTTCTAGTGTTTAGGGTTAGTGTTAAACGTACCAAAATACAGACCTTTTCATTCAAATTATCAATGCCATGTCACAATTTCACCCTCTTCAAAAATAAATAAATAAATAAATAAGTGCAAGTTTCATATCCTCATTTTTCTGGGTGGCGGGGGTTAACTATTGGCAGGGCTTAACTGGACAAGATCGGCGCTATATGTTTAACAGCAAGATTAGCAATAGTTGTTCATTTTAGTAGGCCTTGATAGTTTCAATAGTCTAAAGTGTGTGTGATAACTATGTCCAACTGCACACACGTCTCGTCTCATCCCCCCCCCCACCCGTCTTTCAACATGTGTTACGTATGGAGCCTACGAGTGAGACTCGACTCCTCAACCAACTGGTCAGTCGACTAACTTATGCCGCGCGCTACAACAGAATCGTTTTCTCTCGCGATTCTTTTTTTCTCAAAGTTTTTTTTTTAAAACTTCTGATTGCACCCTTTGCCTTATAAGTGACATTCTATTGTCCGTATCGTATGATTTTGTTTGCTGTTTTATGGTTGGTGAGCTTGAATCTCCATTTTTGGTTTTTAGATTTAGGATATTGTGAAATCCGTGTTCGAGTATCCGTCCACTTAACCACAGCAAGTAGCTTCCGATAACAAGTCATTGTATTGTCCTACATTGTTTATAACCCTCTATTTATACCACTTGTCTGAATCATCTAAACTTGCATGGTCACTTATAATTAAATGTGAAGAGCTAGACACAAATAGATCAACATCCGTCATGCTGAACAGTATGTTGTCGCTTACTTTTAAGTGACCTTTTATTTGAAAGGTAGTGCTACGTGTTTCTTTAATAATAATTTATACAAAATTATTCTGTTTTAAATGTAATATAATATTTGTGTTAGTTATATCTAGGTGGTTCAATCAATTTCTTTGATACGGGCTTCATAAAGTGTAGTTAATACCGGGATTGTAGTTGGTTTGCTTAAAAAGCTGTGTTTCATTGTATAGGGACTTTAGATGATGCTGGTTTACATAGATACACAACACACTCCAGCTGTTCCAGTTCAGTTATATAACGTTCTTATGTAACTTTAGAGTTGAACTGTTAACATGTGTTTCTCCAGTGAGTTATCTAAAGTTGTTGTGTAAGTGGAGAAGATTCCCCTAACCTTCAGTATTGTGGGTCACTTTGTAGCTGAATTCTTAACATGTGTTTCTTGAGTGAGTTCTCTAAAGTTGTTGTTAAAGTGGCGAAGATTCCCCTAACCTTCAATATTGTGGGTCACTTTGAACCTCGGTGTGTTGTGTAGAAGTTAATTACCTTCTCCACCTTAACACGGACAGGCCTGTCAGTCACCTTTATTTACGTGGACCAGTGAAAGCTGTTTGATCACCGCCCTCTCCTCGTTTTAAATAAGAGTTCAATACGTTAGTATAACGGCTTGATTTCAACCTGAGACCTTGGAGCTGGGCCAAGCTTAATCAAGTATTTGTGCTGAAGGAGTATGGGTAAACACGACTTTCAGTCATATGTTATTCAACAAACGACGGGGATACGCCATCTAGACACGTTTATGGACCTCATATCACTGGCAGGAGGGTACAAAATTTCGGTTGGAGAGGGGTGAGGTAATAAAGGACTAGATGGGGTGGGCTAGAAATAGCCGCTGAAGTTTGATGGTCTAGCAATAATAGACGAGGTTGGATGGTCTAGCAATAACAGATGAAGTTGGATGATCTAGCAATAATAGAAGAGGTTGGATGGTCTAGCAATAATAGACGAGGTTGGATGGTGTAGAAATAATAGACGAGGTTGGATGGTCTAGAAATAACAAATGAGGTTGGATGGTCTAGAAATAAAAGATGAGGTTGGATGGTTTAAAAAATACTAGATGATATAGTATGATTGAAACACTAGATAATCAGGAAATAATGTGCAATCTGTAAATAATATAGATTGAGGGGTAGAATGGCGCAATATGTAGATGATGCAAATTGTAATTGGAGAAAGTAAAAACACTAGTGCAACGAGACTAGTAATAGTATATATAATGTGTGTTGATAAGAAAGTAGAGTTCCTTTGTGAAGTTTAAATCTCTCCGACAGCTTTTTTTGTTTGGTAGTACATTTAGTAATGTATACCGCTTTAAGCGATGCTTTAACAGTACTTTAACTCATTAAGACTAATTTATAACTTGGTAGTGAATTAGCTTTTTTTTATTGTTTAACCGACGTAAAGAAATCGCCATTTTAAATGTCCCATA